AAGCTGATGGATTCTTCACCCATCGCTCTATGTACTTGTTGAGTGAAACCGGATTCATCAACATCCATTAAACCGGGAGAAGAAGGCTCAGGAAGGATTTCTCCTTCTTCTTCTGGTTCCACTGCAATAGTAAAATAATAAATAAGTTTCTATATTTGAAGACAAAAAAATAAGAGAGACAAGAATGAGATTTTACCTCCCTCATCGGCCGGAATATCCTGAGTAAACTCCTCTTCGAATAATAGAGAAAGTTTACGTTGTCGATGGGCCGTCTTCTTAATCTTCTTCGATACACGGGTATCTCGAGGAACTTCAGAACTCTCGTGACAAAATTTAGTGCGCAGTTCAGACCCTTGAACAGGGCAGGATTAAGCCTTGGAAGAAGCAGGAGATCTGGACCTCTTTCTGCCAACAAGTGGGGTGACATTTTCCTCTTCTTCTTCTTCTTCTTCTTCAAAGGCAGGCCATCTGACGGTCATTTTATTGGAAGACGATAAGGGGATATTCTTCTCCCTCATCTGAATACCCTTAGAAGGAGCACCGGGTGATTGGGGTGAAGAAGCTTGACGAGTTCTGTGAGCCACGGGAGAAAGAGAAATGTCAGCCCCTGCTGCGCCTATGGGTTCGTCCTCCTCACTGGATGTTTCGAAATCATCACTCTCTTTGGAATCAGCTGCTTGTTTTCCTTTGCGGGAAGATGTAGCAGGTTCCTTCCCTTTCCTGGAAGGTATGGCTCTTTGAACTACGGCTTCCGCTTCTAGCTCAGAAATCTTTTTCTTCGTGACGGGCGTGTTGGCAGCTAAAATCCATCGACGGTAGAGAAAAGTTAAATGAAGATCAGGCTCAGCGACGGGCAAACTAAATTGAGATTCGGTACAGCCAGCAACATTCCAGAACTAGGCTCGTACTCCATCGATAAGGCCTCCACAGGTTATCAACCATTTATTGGGATTCCCGACGTATAATTGATCGTAGCCGAATTGTCGCGCAAATCGGCAAGGAAAATAAGGCTCGATCCTGCATAGGTTCCTCGACCGGAAAACATTATAACCTGGTCGAATGTTCATAAGCCAATGGAAACTACCCATGTCGAGAGAAGTCCTGTTGGTCCCAGGCATTTCCTCATTAATGAGCGTGTCATTATATGCACCAGAAAATCGAGGGAAACATCTATAAAATTCCCAGCACTTAGCATTCTTAAACTGCCTCACCCTGTCAGGCCATTGTCGAGAGGGATTCAGCCATTTACATCCTTCCAAAAGCTGCAGCAAAGGAATTTCTGGATCAGACACGTCAGGTGCTGACATCATGTCCGTTCGATGAAGGACCAGCCACGCCATTAAGTATGTGTATGGCAATTCAACGCTCGACAAGGGAATCTTAGTTGAAGGCTCAACATCCACTTTTGTAAAGGTGTTAGCCAGGTTACGCAAACCGTTGTGGATGTCAGCAATCATGGCGGAGAGTAAAGATAACCTACCTCCGATGGCTAGTTGCATGGCGGGAAAGAGAACCTCAAGAGGAAGCGCCTCAGAAGACTGATGCGGCACTACACATTTCTTTAGCCAGATAGCCGGAAAGGAGGGTCTCATGCCTCATTCTCTTTGTGGATTACCACAAGAAAGTACTGAATTTTGTGCCTCTAAGAAAGCCACCTTGGGATGACTCGGTTCTATAAGACTGAGCATTAATCTTTGTGATTAGCTTATTAACATCAGAAGGGGTCAGAATAGGTGATTCGCAGACAGATTCACCGATCGGGCTTTTGAGATTCTGGAATAAGTAATCGGCGAACTGCTTTAGACTGACTCGAGCTGCCTTCTTACTCTTTACCTCGATCCTGGCTATCGCTGTCTGGTAATAACAAGTTAATTCCCAGAGAATGTCATAAGCAGGAGAGCCAGCCTTCTTCATCTTCATAAGTTGACGATTGTTAGGAAGATATTCTTAATAAGGAGTATTCCCCAATGGCAATCCAGATACTTTCATCATTTCGTGGAGCGGAAGCCCTAACTCCCCATACTTGGTAAAAAATGTATTGGTATCTGGATTATAAGACTCGAACAATACGAGAAAATGATCTACACTTATCGGGAGACCATGCATGCTGGCTCGGATTGGAGCGTATAATACCAAATTCGCTAACTCCTAACCCCAACGATTGAGTACATAGTTGGTCATCCTAGACCACCATTTGTCTTGAAGAGAATGAACCCATCCATAGCATCTGAATTTCGGAAGGGGAAATTCTCTGCCGATCCGAGCAAGCCTATTCTTTACCGTGTTGGCATTTATCATCAGTTCATTCTGAGGCCCACTATCTGGTCCAAGTATCCCGGGATGAAGACCATGAATAGTGTATCGACCACTGGAGCCAGGAGCACTAATATCCCTACCAATGAACCCGCAGTGGACGCGTTCATGATTATCTGTCAAGTGCCACGACATTTTCCTCGAAACGGCCAAATTCCTTAATTTCAGAATGGAATACTGTCGAGGGAATGGGGGAAGGAATAGAAAATCACCTTCGTGTTCATTCAACCAAATTTCGGGACCACGGCAAAGATTATCCGGATCTTCAATCGAATCCCCGAACAAATAATCAGGCTTCTTTAACGGTTCGGTGGAATCTCGAATGGGAGTTAGGGGTGAGTCGGTCAGCAAAGCACGCAGAGTGCGACGACTTCCTTCACGAATCAATCCAAGAACGCTATTGTCACAACCCTCACTAAACTGACGGGCCTCTCTAACCAGAAAATCATCGTTGAAGGAGGCATGAAGAATACCACTCTGGCCTGGGTCTTCTCTATCAGAAAAGACCACAGAAGAAAAGGGAACTGCAGAGAAAAGTTGGAAAACAGTTGAATAAAAGAGGCTAACAGAGCAAAACCCCTGCCCTAAGTAGCCGCGGTGGTATTCACTGCCGCGCGTTACCGCGGCAGTGTATGCTGTCGCGCTCAGCCGCGGCAATACGTGTTGCCACGGTAACTGAACAGCAACTCCAGACTTCAAAGAGCCATGAGTTTGAGCCAAATTCATGTTTTGGCTGTGGTACATGTCTTGATTAAACAAGATATGTATTTTGCAGCGTCAATCCCCTCGAAGGAGGATGTCAACTCTTCCCGGATGCCTCTCAAAGGCGACAAACGAGGTCACATACACAAAGCTATCAATTCTGGACAGAGAAAAGTTAAAAAAATGTACCCCCGAATGACGTAGCAGCTGCCTCTGTCTCCTCAGATGCTGTAGCCGCAAATTTGCCTTTGGGAACCCTAGATCTCTTAGGAGACATGGTGAAATCAACCTAAAAGACAAGAAAAGTTAGGGTTTTATATGAAACCTCAAGCAAAGATCAAAATAAAACCCTAGAATACGACATAGGGGTGCGGTTTTACCAGGGGTTGGATGAAATCAAATTTTGATCGAAGGAAAGGCTCAGAATCAAGGAGAACTCAAAACCCTAGATCTTGTTCGAGCAAGAAATAACCCAAATATGAAGAGGTGGAGAGGGGAAAAGCCAGAAAAGTCCTTTTATAGTGGTATTTGAAGAGATTTCGAACTCAGAGAAGCGGGGAAGAATGACCCGAAAAGGCCCAAATCGGTCTTATAAACCCGACTGGCCGAAGCGCTGCGAGGCACTCGACACTGTCACGCTCGAGCACGGCAGTCTACGCTGGCGTGCTCAAGTGCGGCAGTAGAGGCTGGCGTGGCAGTTAACACACCATAGTCCACTCTGACGCGCAGAAACACTGTGCATACACAATAATTCCTTGGGTATTTGAACACATACATCTCCCGTGGAACGTGGGGGTGGACCTCCGCGTTTTAGAGTTGGAACCTAGGGGTGGACCTCCGCATTTTAGCATTGGAACGAGGGGATGGACCTCCGCGTTTTAGAATTAGAATGTGAGGATGACCTTCGTGTTTTAGCATTAGAATGCAGAGATGACTGTAGGCGTCAAAAAATGCTTACAGACATCCAAATACCACCCAAGGCATAGAGAAGACGATAAACGCCATTCTCTTAATCAGAGAGAATCATTCAAAGGAAGTGAGACAACATGTACACACCAACAGACAGCACATGGTGCCGCGGCTAAGGCGCGGCAGTCCATGGTGCCGCGGCTAAGGCGCGGCAGCCTATGGTGCCGCGGCTATTATAGGGGGGTGCTGCGGCGGTTACAAGGCAGTTATACGATGATTTTTTGAAGCCCACATGGCGGCATATCAGAAATAGAACGTGTGCTGATGTGGACAAGCAGTTAAACCACGAAAAAGGTGGTTAAAGGTCGTAGGAGAACAGTTTCAGGCACGATAAAACGTGGTGGTAACCGCTCCTTTGGCCGCGGCAGTCCATACTGTCGCGCCAATAGCCGCGGCAGCATGGACTGGCGCGGCCAAAGAACAGTCGTTTGGTCAGTTATCTCGCCCCCGTTTCTACTGTTATGCATTCCTACCCCTATAAATACCTCCCCAAACACGAAATAAAGGACAGAGAGAGTAGATTGGAGCATAAAGACTTGGGCTTTCGATAATCTTGAGGAAGAGAGAGAGAATTTTCACCTTTCATAAAGATTGGAGCATAAAGACTTGGGCTTTCGATAATCTTGAGGAAGAGAGAGAGAATTTTCACCTTTCATAAACAACGTTTGGTGATTCCTAGATTGAGGAAGAGAGAGAGAATTTTCACCTTTCATAAACAACGTTTGGTGATTCCTAGAGATCTAAGCTCAAACTTGATCTTTGAAAGAGTGAATATCTTACATCGATAAGATATTCGTTGATTTTCATTCTTACTTTGATAAACGAAGGAATGATCTTTAAACCCCCTCACGATCTGTGAATCGGTGGTCCACGAGCCAAAGCACTCCCGACACAGGCAAAGTTCCACAAAAGCAGAAGTTGATAAACAATTTCTGTGTTATTTTCTCAAGAGTTGTATTTTTGCTTATTTTCATTGTAATTTTCTGTAAACAACTGAAGTTTTAATAGAATCGACAATGGAAACGACTTTCGCTGAAAACAATTGGTATGAGCAAGAAGACCGAGGTGGAGTTTGGCACTTCTATCCATCATTCGAGGGGTCTTCTGAGGGGTGTTCATTCAGGCATTCGGGGGCCTTCCAAGAGAGCATCATTAGGAGGTAATAGGTATGTAGTTTCCGCAGTTGAGGATTGCTCTAGGCATTGGTAGGTTACAACCAAGTCTCGTTGGTGTGAAGTCCTAGAAGCCAGCAACAGATGGAGGAAGTGTGTTGGTAGAAAGGTAACCCGACGTTCTTATTATGGTAGGGATTCTTTCTTGCAATTGTGCTGAGCTCACGTCAATAGGAGACACTTCATTGGTGTGGAAACTTTGAGGCGACGTGATGAGATGACAGATTTGGGGAGTTGTTCCTTTCTGTAGGAGGATAGACATTTGATGTCGAGCATTGGCATTGGTTTTGGAGCTTCGACATATTTGGGTCATCTCAGTTATAGGTTTCCGACTGCTGCATGTAGAGATATGGGATCTGGTGGAGCTGCTTCAGATTTTGGGTTGTGTCAGATGTTTGGTTACCCAGCACTTGGTCACATCGTGGATGTGAGATTTGATCCGATAACATATTTAGGATTCAGAGGCGTGTTTGATTATCAGGTATTGGCTTTTGACTTTATTCTGAGCAGGTATGTCACGTTTGACTCTCGGCAGGTGAAGAGTGATGATCAGATCTTTGGGATATCACAGCGGGTGGAGAGTGATGCTACTCCACGTTGGGTGGAAACTCTAGATCATACTGTATCATTTAGGATTCTAGCTGATGTGACACAGATTGGGAATCATGTTGATTTGGATGCAGATGATAGGTTAATTGATTCGAGTACAGCTGATAGATATAGTCTGGATATGGCCATTGGTTCATTTCAGGTGGAGATGTTTGGATTATTTCAGTTTGGCGCCATTTGAGGTGCTATCAGCCGTAGACTTGATCGTGATGTTGGACAAGGGTTGCGAACTCTTCTAGTGGATTGAGGCCTTTGGAGGCCGTTTTGATGAACTACGTGAAGGCTTGATTCCTTGGGCAAGAGGATATGTAGGCAGTCATTTATAATGCAGTCGGTTTGGTGAGTTGATATCGATATTTGGAGTTTGTTCGCATTCTCGTTTGGGTTCTCGACTTGTTGTGGATTGAGTCCGTTGTCGTAGATTTGTTCCACTTCGTACTGGACGCAACAAATGAGACGTTTGGTTGGTATTGGTGTCGGCTCAGTTTTGGGGAAACTTTGCCGAGGTGAAGAATTGTTGGATAGCGGATTCCTAATCTATTTTGGTAACATGAGGTTGTTAGGATTCCTAATCTATTTTGGTAATATGAGGTTATTAGGATTCCTAATCTATTTTGGTAATAGGTTATTAGACTTCCTAATTTGATTTAGTTTTTGGTTTAGAATTCCTAGTATGTTTATGATTTTAGTATTTCTATATATATGGAATAATTGGAAGAGAGAATAGGAGAAAAAAAAATTGGGGATATTTGGAGCACAGAAAAGATGTATTTTCTGAGCTATTTGTTTTGGGTTTGTTTGGAGAGATTAAGAGCTTGTTGGTGAGATTAGTTTGTTCATTTGAGTGATTTGTAATATCAGTTTGTATTCTTTCTCTATTAGTGAAAACCCATCCCCTTCTTGCCCCGTGGACATAGGCAACTTGCCGAACCACGTAAATCTCTTGTGTTATTTGGTGATTGTGCTTGTTTATTTGGTTGTGATCTCTCTTTGGATTGTGTGATTCGACCGCTTCCGCGCCGCGCACAACATGTCGATGGCTCAAATGATTAGACCGTTTCAATATGTCTCTTATAGTCTTAGGTTCGATTCCGGCTTGGTTATAAAAAAAAAGCAGGCCAAAATGTGCCAAAGAAAAACATCCATTTGCCAAATTGGCTCTTAGGGGGGGTTATTTATTGGTGTAATTTGGGGATAATGTGATAATTTTTAGAACATCACTTTTTGGTGTTATTCATTGGGGTAATTGGAATTGGAGTCAATTTTGTGGTGTTATTGGTTTGTTTGGATAATTGGGGGACAAATACTCCACTTTCCCCTAAATTACACCAACTATATAAAGATCCCCTCCATCCCTTCCTCATAATTATCCCAAATTTACCCCATCCTTCATATTGGAACAATGTTGTTCCACTTTGAAGGCAATTAGGATAATTTTAAAATATTTTTTTATTACTTAACTAATACACGCTAATTATATTATAAATATATGATATGATATATAAAATATAAAATATAAAATATATTAATATTTTAATAACATAATTTAATAACATATATTAATAATATTATATAATAGTAATTATAGTATAACGTATTTACTATAATATTATATAATATTTTAATAACATAATATATTAATAATATTATGTAATATATTATTATATAATATTAATTAGTAATTATAGTATAACGTATTTATTATAATATCATATAATATTTAATAACATATATTAAAATTTTAATAACATATATTAATAATATTATATAATAACATATATTAACATTTTAATAACATATATTATATTATACTAACATATATTAATAATATTATATAATAACATATATTAAATATGTTATATTATATTTTAATTTTAATATAAAATTTTAAAAATATTACATTGAATAAAGTAAAATATTATAATATTTTATATTATATCCTATGATACTATATTATAATATATTAAATTAAATAATATATTATTAAAATATTATATTAAATATATTATTCATATATTATATTAATTATTATATAATGTAGCATACTAATATAATGTTAATTAGTAATTATTGTATAACATATTATATTTTTGTATAAATAAAATAATGTATTATATTAAATATTATATTATTAAAATATTATATTAAATATATTAATATTATATTATATTAATTATTATATATAGTATAGCATGCTAATATAATATAATACAATACAATATAATAATTAATAATAGTAATTTGTAAGTATAGTACAATATATTATATTTTAAAATAAAATAAAATAATATTTTAATAAGGTGCCACATCATCAATTATACCACATGAATTGTCAAATCAAATGATGAAATTATCCTATTATCACACTTTATCCCACTTTACCCCACTCAAAATATCCCAAAGGGGTAAAATTGTTCCGTTGGAACACTTTTCCCCCTTGGCCCTAATTTATCCCAACCAATAACCCCCCTTAGTGCTAACTATAAGTAAACCTCTAGAGTCCGCCCCTTAACCCCCTAAAGTATAGACTAAGGGTCTGTTCGGTTATTTCCTAAAAAACCAAAAAGGGCCTGTTCGTTTGCCTTAAAAAAATGGGAAATCAAAGAAATAGAAAACTATTTCTAAGAAAAATGGGTTTTTGAATTGTTTGGTTGGCTAAAAAAAAGGAAATCAAAGAAATGGAGATGAGATGAGATGAGTTGTCACATTATTATTGGATGATGTGAGTGATTTTTTAAGAAAACTAGTTTTGATGTTGTTCGGTTGGCGAAAAAAATAAGGAAATGAATTATAAGAAACCTATTTCCTGTAGTTTTCTTGTTTTCTTTTGTTCGGTTCATTCTTAAAAATAAGAAATGAAATGAGATGAGATGAGATGTCATTGTATTATTGGTTGATGTGAAGAAAGATTAAGAAATGTGTTTTCACAACTTTTTGGGATGAAATGGAAGAAATGAAATGTTAATGAGATGAGGTGAATTGTTATAATATTTTATTCAATGATGTGAGTGATTTGAAATGATGAAAAGAGATGAGTTGAGTGATGTTTGGATGAAAATAATATTTTATTAGATGTGATGGATGAGTTGTTAGATGAAAATAATATTTTATTAGATGTGATGGATGAGTTGTTAGATGAAAATAATATTTTATTAGATGATGTGGATAAGTTGTTGGATGGAAATAATATTTTATTGAATGTTGTGGCTGAGTTTTAGGGATGGAAATGGAATAAATAGTACTTTTTGAGATTTTCACCTTTTTCATTTCCATTTCTTGATTAAAATATTATTTTCATCCACAACATCACCCAACTCATCTCATCTCATATTTAAAAATCACTCACATCACCCAATAAGATTGTGACAACTCATCTCATCTCATTAATATTTCATTTCTTTGTTTTCTTCTCAAAAAGCTAGGAAAACAATTTCCTTAAGTGTGTGTCACATCATCCAATAATATAATGACAACTCATCTCATCCCATCTATTTTCTTATTTTTAAGAAATAACCAAACAAAAGAAAACAACCTATTACAAGAAATATGTTTCTTATAATTCATTTCCTTATTTTTTTCGCCAACCAAGAAATCTCAAAACAAGTTTTCTTAAAAAAACACTCACATCATCCTATAATAAGATGACAACTCATCTCATCTTATCCTCATTTCTTTGATTTCCTTCTTTTTTAGCAAACCAAACACTACCAAAACAATTCTTCTTAGAAATAGTTTTCTATTTCTTTGATTTCCCATTTTTTTAAGGCAAACGAACATACCCTAAGTGAATATCATAAGAATTATAATGCTTAACAATTAGAAATTGAGAGCAGAGACGTCGTGGGCCCAGGGGTGAGTAACACAAATACTGCGGTGCCTAACAATCACAAACCTGAACTTTAGAAAGCCCAATTCCATTAGAGCCCAAATCCACCGTAGAGCAGGCGCTACCCAATCTTCTCCGAGATTCAGTCCGGCGGCCCCGAAGGTTAACTTCCTCCCTAAATCATTCAACCCCCTTGGACCTCTACAAAAACATGTCCTCATGACCTCATTGGTAACATCACCTCGGTGACCGCACCTCACCAAAAGCTCGAGTCGGCCCGAAGATTCAAATAAAAGATCCAGGGGTAAAAAATAACCTAAAAAGAAAAACCTCCATTTTTTCTTCTCTCTCTTCGTCTCTGCTTCTCCCCTTCGATCCCCAATCCATGGCGGAGACTACCACCGCGGCGCGCCCCGTCCCGCCACCGCCGCATCCCCGACGGGCCCGACGGCGTCCGCAATGACGTGGAACCCCGATCTAAGGTTGAGGCTTCGAAATGCGTGGTTCCTATCGCCGCCTCGATCGCCCCGATCCGATCCAGTCCCGATCTCGTCACCCTCCCCTACGCCCCTCTCCGATGCAAGCCCCCGTGCTCCGCCGTCCTCAACCCTTACTGCAGCGTCGATTTCAACGCCAAGATCTGGATCTGCCCTCTCTGCTTCTCCCGAAACCAGTTCCCCCATCATTACGCCGGGATCTCGGAGTCCAATGTCCCCGGAGAGCTCTACAATCAGTGCTCCACCGTCGAGTATGCCCTCGATTCGTCGGCCGTGGGCCCCGCTCTGCCGCCGGTGTTTCTTTTTGTCCTCGATACGTGTCTCATCGAGGAGGAGCTCGAATTTGCGAAGTCGGCGATGCGGCGGGCGAGTTGGCAATGCGGTGGGCGATTGGATTGCTGCCCGAGAATGCCCTAGTTGGGTTGATTACTTATGGGACGCAGGTGCATTTGCATGAGTTGGGCTTTGCCGATATTTCCAAGCTGTATGTGTTTAGGGGGACTAAGGAGATCTCGAAAGATGAGATCTTGGAACAGTTGGGACTGTCGTTGGCGGGGAGAGGGCTTGTGAAAGGCGGTGTGCAGCCAAATGGGATGCCGATGGTGCAGCAGCAGAATGTGATGGGGTCTTCGTCGGTGAATCGGTTTCTGTTGCCGGCTTCAGATTGCGAGTACACGCTCAGTGCTGTAAGATTTCTTTTGAGAAGGAAACGATTTGGGTCTTGAGATTGTATGTTTGTTTATTGTTGTTGGTTTTTTTGTGTGCAGTTGTTGGATGAGATGCAGACGGATCAATGGCCTGTGGAGGCTGGGCACCGGGCTCTGCGATGCACGGGTGTCGCTCTGAGTGTTGCTGCTGGACTGCTGGGTGCTTGCTTGCCGGGCACTGGGGCTAGAATCATAGCCTTGGTTGGTGGGCCGTGTACTGAGGGCCCGGGGATGGTTAGTATATCTAATGTTTCTCTTTCACTGAATTGGATCGAACAATAACACTTCGTAACTTATTAGACCTATTATGTGTAGATTGTGTCTAAAGATCTCTCAGAACCCGTCCGCTCACATAAAGATCTTGATAAAGACGCAACTCCGCATTTTCACAAAGCCGTGAAGTTTTATGATAACCTTGCCAAACAGCTGGTTAGCCAGGGTCATGTTTTGGATGTTTTTGCATCTGCACTCGATCAGGTATAGGTCATTTCTTTGCATTTTTGTTAATTATGCGTGTTTTATTATGAGATAATCTTATGATTTTTAACTAGCACTATGCAATATAAGATTTACTAATTTACTATAGCATCCCGTTTCATGTATCGGAAACAATTGCAGATTCGTGTGGCAATCTTTATCTCCATTCATCTATGAACTATTTTCATAGTGTAGGAGAGCTTCATGGTATTACACTTTGGCCTGTAGTTATTTTGTGTTAACTATATGGTAGGATCCTCTTACTTTGTGAATTGTGATTTGGGGCTCTAGTTGCTTTCTACCATTTGCCCGTACATGCAAATGGCAGCAATTAGATTCATCATGGTTGATCACAAGCTCTTTATTTTGATCCAAAGTTATGCTCTCTATCAGTCTCATTGCCACCAGATATGTGTGAAATTTTTTAGAATCATTTTTTCTAACAAGTGTATCCTATGAAAGTGCTTTCCTAGAAATCCATTAACATTACCAAGTCTAGAAAGATTAAGCCTAGATGCATGGAAGCCAGACTATAGTATTACGCTACAAGAGAAGAACATAATACACTCTCTCAATTTGAGCTCTCTTTCTCTCTTGCTCTCTGAATTTGTCAATCTCTCCAACTCTCTTAAAACTCTCCTAAATATTTTTAATTTTATGTTTTTTTATAAAATCTGCGCCCATTGACAGATATTACACTATATGTATAGAAACGGTCAAACTAGCTTTGACAAAACAACCTCACCTAGTGTTTTGAAAACGGATTTGGAGAAAAACACCATGGTGTTGTGTTTTCATAGAAAAAAAAAACACCATGGTATCCAAACACACCCTTAACTTTTGCCCGCTCATCTTTCTCTTTTTTTTTATTTCATCACCACTTAAGGATGGTTTTGACTTGAATTAATATTATACTATATGTATAGAAAGGGTCAAACTAGCTTTGGCAAAACAAACTCACTATGGTGTTTTGAAAATGGTTTTGGAGAAAAACACTATGGTGTTGTGTTTTTGTAGAAAAGCACCACAAAAAAAAAAAATCACCACAGTGTTGTGTTTTCGTAGAAAAACACCACAAAAAAATCACCATGGTATCCAGACACATCCTTAACTTTTGCCTGTTCGTCTTTCTCTGTTTTGTTATTTCATCATCACTTAAGGATGGTTTTGACTTTTGGGTCTCCTCTATTACTTTGTTAACTGCTCAGCTTTGCAGTTACTTTGGAGCTGAACTGCGAGCAAAATTACATCATAAAAGTAGCCAATTTTAAGTTATCCTATAGAGACTTTAGTGTAAATGTCAGAATTTCGAGATACCAATAACTGGTAAAGAAAGAAGCTGGAGTTCTAGAGAAGAGTTATGTCATTTGGTCATTAAGTTTCCAAGCTCGAAGGATGACTGCATTAATTATCGTTTTAAATGCTGGTAACAAGAATTTGCATTCTGCAGATTTTTTACATTTTTGTAAACAGAAACACCATTTTGTCCACAAAACTGTATTTTGGTTTTGCCTTTCCTAGTAATTCATTTTCGATTGTGCATGCCTTTCTTTTGTTATATTTGACCAATAGCTTAACTGATAAACTCTTCACTTGATTGTAACCTCATCCAGGTTGGGGTTGCAGAGATGAAAGTTGTTGTTGAAAGGACAGGTGGTCTTGTTGTTCTAGCAGAGAGTTTTGGTCATCCGGTTTTCAAAGAATCTTTCAAGCGAATATTTGAGGATAGTGAAAAGTCTCTTGGCCTTTCATTCAAGTAAGTATTCATTGCTTTCTTGGGGATATGCTATGTTACCCGGGTACTTCTACAATGAAGCCGTACCCGTACCGGACACGTACCCGACACTTTCCCGTACCCAAACTTCATGGACACTTCTTGAATATATGCATGAATTTATTACAACATGTACTCAATTATATGATATATGTTAATTTAAAACACTTGTCAAAGACTTCCTGGACGTAAAGCTTACACTTCACATCCGTCATTTGAAACTAATGAGATACGGGTCAGATTCGTTTCAGTCCATACCCAAGTTTAAAACTATATAGTTAATGGATCGTTTAGATGTCTAGTAAAAAAAATGAGTAGTTTATAATTCACGATAATCAATATGATAAAAGAAACTCAAAAATGTGATCGGAATTTTAATTCTAATGACACATGAAGGGGAAAATTTTTATCTTATGTACAGTATTAATTCAATATATATATGTAGTCGTGTCCCCGTACCCTACATTTTACAGTTTTGCCGTGTCCCGTACCCGCACCCGCACCCGTACCAGTACCTGTACCCGTTTCCATGCAACTTAGGGGATATGTCAAGTATGCCCCCTATATTTTGGCAAGTTGATTGGTCCTTATTTTTTGTACATGGAGATGTAATTCATATCAGACAACGTAAATTTCAACCTTTGCTTTAATAAAGTTGTGGTCAGAAATTTAAGTTGTATTTAGTTATTAGCTCCTGATAAAGCTGACATTTTGAGTAGAGAATCTTCATACTTGCCAATATCCATTTGTCTTTCTAGTTTAGCATATGTTTACATTTCGATACAAATTTCTTTGAGTTGAGTTGCCTTCAGTACACCATCTCTGTTGCCTGTTGCTTTTCATCAAGTCATCTAAAATTCCTGTTTATTGTGGCCAATTCCTAACCTTGAAATATTTATCCACCTCTACTATCTTTGATGAGGTTACCTTGTGATCCTTACAATCATAATACAATCTAGGATGAAGCTGTCAATTTCGCACTCCAGTGGTATTTGTTATCTACATTAACCTTCTTACCAAGTCTTAATCCTGATTGGATCACTTAATCCATCGACAATCTGTTAACAAATTGACTGAATGTGGGTATGGTTAAAAGTCATAAAACTATTACTGAACCAGATGCATCCTGCAGTTATAGTATGTCGTTGACTCTGCTCCTATTTTAGCAGTAATTGAATTTGTTCTTCCCAGTTGTTTTATAGCCTTTGACTATCTGTTTTTGGTCTCACGAATTAATCCATATATTTAAAAGAAAATAAATATTGAATGGCCATGTGTAACAATATGTTTGCTGTGGGCAAATACTGCTATTTCTTCCTAACTGCTGGGTAGCAGGCATACTTCATTTGCATTTGGAACCATGAAATCCTTTGGTATTCTTGTTAGGTAAACACTGCAATATTTGGATACTTTTTTACTGTTGGGTCAGGGATGCAGCTTATCCATAATCCTTTTTTTCTGGACCATACCTTCTTTTAACTGTGATGTACTTCTTCCCCCAGCTCGCATTTTATTCTTATAGCTCTCTTGTCATTTTTCATTGTTCACTTTTTCTTGCGCAACACAGTACAATTAAGCCCACCTTCAGTTCACATGATATAGAAGACGTTGAAGTCATATAGCTGTCTGGGTAAAATTCATCTGATAGAAATGCCATCATCAACACCTTCCTAGATCACTGCCATTAACACCATATCATATTTTTGCCTGAAAGAGATAACATGTCTAACCACTTGGAGCATTTTGCTTTTATCATCATAAGGAAGTTCACTTCTCAATATGATAAGTTATATATACTAGATACACCCATTCTTTGTTTTAGTGTCTAAATGCTGCAAGGATTTGTTTATAATGAATATATATACACCTACTTCCATTTTCCGCAGCTTGAGTTCACCTCTGCATTTCCATCTATGGTTTGATAAAATAGAATTTGGTTGCAAGGATGTTTATGGTGCTGTAACAATGCGCACAGAAAACATCACATCTTCCTAGATTTCATTGGTCAAGTTTATTTCGTCTTCTCAGACTACTATTTTGATGTTTCATGACCAATAAGCCGTGTAATGCTCATGATGATTTTTGTTTCAGCGGTACACTTGAGATCAACTGTTCTAAGGACATCAAGATTCAGGGTATCATTGGTCCATGTACATCTTTGGAAAAGGTTCTCTCTCTGCAAAAACACTTTATTGTTGATTGATAAGATAAGACGAAAATCTTTTGCAGCTACTTCTTTCAATTATCTTAAAATTCATTTGAGTCAATGTGAGTTGTCATGCATGCAGAAAGGAGCTCTTTGTGCTGATACAGTGGTTGGGCAAGGAAATACCAGCCAGTGGAAAATGTGTGGACTAGATAGGCGTACTTGTTTGACGGTATTCTTTGATATATCACCCAGTGATAAATCAAATCAGCCGGGAATTCCAAATCAGCAGTTGTACATACAGTTTGTTACGAAGTATGTTATTTATTGGCATTTCTGGTTTTTTCTATTTATTTCTTGTGTAGTCATATTGCTTGTAACTACAGCATTCATTTCTTTGTAGTTACCAAAACTCTGAAGGTCAAATGAGGCTACGAGTTACAACTGTTATGAGAAAATGGGTTGATGACTCTTCTAACACGGAGGTTAGTTATAACTTTTCTTAACCTTCCTACGGTTTTGTTTTGTACCCTTCAAAATTTTTCGAAGTGTATTTTACCGTTTATAATGAAAAGCCCCAGCCACCCACTTCTTAGCACCTTTTCCGGTTCAGAATCTTGGATGCTGTTTGATGCTTAAATCATATTTTTGCTTTCACCCTTTCTGTTATAGGCATGATCAATAACATAATATTTTATTGTCGCTTCGTTCATGATGTATAAGCGAACGTAGTCTAGAGAACCCCTAAGTTCTACCCTTCTTTTCTAAGAAGCCTCCAACTTCTCTTTTTTGACAGTAAAAGCCCCTAAGTTTTACCCCTTTCTTTTAAGAAACCTCAACTTTCTTTTTTTGATAAGAATGCCCTCAAGTTTGCTCTTCTCTTCTAAGACGTTCCCAACTTTTTTTTGTGACAATGAAGCCCTTAAGTTTTACATGAAGAATTCAGGGGTTTTTAAATCCTAATTATTCATAGTCCTGAATTTGAATGAAGCGAGACAGGTCACTATACAGAAAGGCAGGTCAATAGTGTTTGACCAGACGTTCAGTGTGGGACTTGTCTATTTAAAGGAAGCATATGTTCCGAAGGCCGAAATGTGAGTGTTATCCATCCGGACAATGATGAGTTTGCCGAATTTGCTCTCACACAACACAAGATGTATTTCTTAGGAAAATATTTCCGCATATCTTGATGTTCCTAACTGCCCGCCGGCAACTTAGCTAGCACCACAATGGCAGCTTTATTTGGGAATAGGTGCTTTTTTCCTAGGGCTGCTGGACATTTAACCTTCATATTCCATAAGCTTGTAGTCAAGTAATAGACATTATGTTGTCCATATGTATTCACCATTATACTTCACATTTATGGTTTCGCTCTGTTGATAATGAAAATTCATTCCAAATGCAGGAATTGGTGGACGGGTTTGACCAAGAGACTGCAGCTGTTGTACTAGCAAGATATATCTCCTTGAAAATGGAAATGGAGGTAGACTCTGGTCACTTTGATGGATAGATTGTAGCTTTCTTGTTGCTTGCTTTTGTTAAATCACTATACTTCTTTGTAGATTATTGCTCCGGGGTTATGCTTTATTTTTCTGAGATTAAAATATAATTCAATAATTCACACTATGGTTTCGTGAGAAAAGTAGTCAACACTTTCTACTGCTCCATGTTCTTTCATATACACCAAACCCTGTTATATTTGGTAACCATGAGACACTGGCACAAACTTAAAAACTACTTAATTTTCTGTAGGTAACATTTCCGTTTCCTTTTGCACTGAAGAATTGTTTCATTAGGATTTCATTTTTCATGATTTCATAAGCATATTTTGTTTCAGTCATCTTATAATTATAAAACTGTTTTCTGTTTTTTTTATCAGGAAGAGTTTGATGCAACGCGGTGGTTGGATAGGTCACTCATTCGTCTATGTTCACGGTTTGGTGATTATAGAAAAGACGATCCTTCTTCTTTTGTAATTAACCCAAATTTTTCACTATTCCCACAGTTCATGTTTAATCTGCGGCGGTCGCAATTTGTACAGGTGATTTGCAACATTATTTTCAAATCTGAAGTATGCACATTTTTCACTAGTTTGTAACATGCTTTACTACTGTAGGTTTTCAACAACAGTCCCGATGAAACTGCTTATTTCCGTATGTTGTTGAACCGGGAAAGCATTACCAATTCTGCTGGCATGATTCAGCCTTCACTGCTTGCCTATTCTTTTAATGGACCGCCAACTCCTGCGCTATTGGATGTAGCATCTATTGCTGCAGATCGGATACTCTTGCTTGATGCATATTTTAGTGTTGTTGTTTTTCATGGTATGACAATTGCTCAGTGGCGTAATTTGGGTTACCATAATCAGCCTGAACATCAGGTAACTTTGTGGCAAGCATTGTTAACAATTTAGCTTATTTAGCTGCTCTTTATCAGCAATCTCTATCTCTATGCAACTTGCCATGTCATTTGACACATGCGACATGAATTTCCTTTGCAAATTCATGTTTAAGTTCTTGATAATGCTAGCTGTTGTTGTTTCTTGCTTTTAGCTGAAGTGTAATAACAAGAACAATAAAGCCTTCATCCTGAATTTCAGGGTGGACTAAAGAAATCGTTTTCGCCATTAACCTCTATCAACATTCATCTCTTTGGTTAATAAAATGCTCTAATAACTGCTCTTTAGGGTTAATTTCATAGATATTGGACTATGTTGCAGTAGAGGACTCATAACTTAATAGCATTAGCCACATATTTTTTGTGAGTAGTGAGTTTTCGTTGATTAGGATGATTAGTATGACTTCTGGAGAGAGTAAACCAATTATCTATATCTTCATGTTTTTTTCTGGCCCTTTGCTTGCCAGAAGCCTCCAATGATTTACCCAGAACTAAGTATTATCTCATTATTATTAGCATCATAACCTTTTTTCTTTATCATGGTGGTTGTGGATCACACACTAAAGTTGTGTAAGCTCCACAAAAAGAATTGGTCATATATTTAGAACCACAAATGTTTTTAGCCTCAAATGGCAACTGGGTTCGGGCCGAGGTGGTCAGGTTTCTCAGCAGCGAGAGTGATCACCTCAGTGATTGTGGGTGGGCTTTTAACAATGAAGACAACGAGGGTCCTAAGTGACATCAGGGTGGTTGACGATGATGGGTTTACTGCAAACAATCAGGAATGACATATGGTGGCAATGGTTATGGCCTCAAGTTACATGAACAGCACCAGCAGTCACCGGCAATGTGGCTATATGGTTATCTGACAATGACAAAAATAGAGTGGATTGCTGGTAGCAGCAGAAAGGCTTTCCATAGTAATGTGATTGTTTTACTGTGATGGATGGCATAGAATGAGCCTTATTGCCTCCAGCTGGGATCTATTGACCCCTCGCAGCAGAAATGGTTACAGGCCGAGGGTTAGATGTGAGGGTGCCATCATTTCTATGAGTGCCTTCACTTTGGAGGTTTCTCAGGCCGAACAGTGGGATTCCTTGGTTGCAGCTTGCCTTGACAATGTCTGCTGTTATTAATCTTAGAGGCCAGAGTCTTAGCGGAGGAATTGCCTGGCGTTGTTGATCTTCGAGGTCAAATCTTAACATCAGTGACCATTCCCGGCGGTACCAGGCTAGCAATGTTTGGGTGAGACAAATGTATTGCTGGGGGAAAGGAATGAGGCTGAAATGAAACTAGCGTGGCCTCCGAAATTTTTGGATGCAAGTATGCAACTATGCAAGAAAGAGAACTTGAGATGGGGAACTTCTCTCTTCTCTATTACAATTTGGGATAGGGAGTTTTAGGATTTCATCCAAGCATTGTAAATTCTAGTCCTCTAAACACTGTTCATTAATGTGATTTTCGAATGCCTTGAGGCTAGCACAATATGTCTGAGTTCAAGCTTTGATTGTCTCTAAAAGTTTCACAACCAATTTTATTTCACATTGTGCCAATTTGACAGATAAATCTTCCTACAAAAATGTCAATTGGTCCTTATGGAAGTATAGATAAATGCAGTTGATGTTTTTTAGTGTTTGAAGGGACATCTACCTGTGGTCACAGATATTTGAATTAATAATGAGAATATTCGTGAAGGTTTTGACACATTTTATATCATCTAGGTGAATTATTGGGTTCTCACATATTATCTATATGTTAATTTAGGAGAAAATTGAAATTAACTTATCCAAGTATGCAACTATGCAAGAAAGAGAACTTGATATGGGGAACTTCTCTCTTCTCTATTACAATTTGGGATAGGGAGTTTTAGGATTTCATCCAAGCATTGTAAATTCTAGTCCTCTAAACACTGTTCATTAATGTGATTTTCAAATGCCTTGAGGCTAGCACAATATGTCTGAGTTCAAGCTTTGATTGTCTCTAAAAGTTTCACAACCAATTTCATTTCAGATTGTGCCAATTTGACGGATAAATCTTCCTACAAAAATGTCAATTGGTTCTTATGGAAGTACAGATAAATGCAGTTGATGTTTTTTTAGTGTTTGAAGGGACATCTACCTGTGGTCACAGATATTTGAATTAATAATGAAAATATTCGTGACGGTTTTGACACATTTTATATCATCTAGGTGAATGATTGGGTTCTCACATATTATCTATATGTTAATTTAGGAGAAAATTGAAATTAACTTATCCAAGCTGTTTGGTTATCTGACAGTGGGCATCTTTCCTCTTAGCTTATCGTGATTCCTGAATTCTGTTGATTCTTGTCCCTCTTTCAAATCATTTGAGATATTGTGTGAGAATAGAATCTGCAATATGTGAGCATCCAGCGGCTAACTTGGACGGCCCCATAGTCATGGTTTTGATGGTTTTCAACATTTCTTGGTTGGGAAGAGGTCTATCATTCTTAAGCTTAAGCTGGGGGCAACAACGAAAACCTGCCAAGCTCTTCAGCAGAAGAACTATTGCCCACATGCTTGCATTAGACTCTCTTTTTCTATTTCGATAATTTCATTTGCATCAATCTTTATGTTGAATTAGACGTAGCTGTGGTGATTTATGCATCTCATTATATCTATTTTGTTTCCAGGCTTTTGCTCAGCTATTGCAAGCACCGCTAGATGAAGCACAAATGATCATCAAGGATCGTTTTCCAGTTCCCAGATTAGTTGTCTGTGATCAACATGGCTCTCAGGTACATAGATAATCTTGTTTCCCGAACCTTTTAATGAGACAGTGCCTTTTCAAATCTCTCAAAATGGAATCTGTTCCAAACATATAGTTTCTTACTTAGACAGGGTGCAAATATCTAAATTTCACCCTTTTAGATACTTTTTCAGACCCATCGACAGGGTGCAAATATCTAAATTTCACCCTTTTAGATACTTTTTCAGACCCATTGCTGATATTAAGTAGCAGTCAAAAATTTGTATCAATTTACATGATATTATGTATGGATCAGATATGTCATGGCCAATTCCTCAAAAGATTCTTCCTTTATCCCTATCCCCTATGTACAACATTTGACCCAGTAGAGAACCTTTTCATGTGTATGAATCAAAATTATTACATTCCAATTCCTTCCTGATGCCTCCCAAGGAGAGCACCGAATTGGATCCGAAATTGACGATTAATGTGATATCCTTGCGGTTATGCACTCTTTGAAGAGGAATCCACCTTCTGAAAGATTTATGGTTATAAACCACCAAGGAATGTGAATGGCATTGCCCCATCTGGGGATAAATTCAGCTCTTATTGAGAGAACTTATTTTTGTCATGGAGTCAATTTTAATCTCTATAAGGTGCTATTTGCAATCTATAGATAATTTATGGGATATTCTGTTGGATATACTCAATTTAGGGGTGCTAAAATAATTTGTTGTATACAGGATGACTTACTTGAGAAGCCATCAGCTATCAGATGATAGATCTAGCTGTAGCCTGTAGTAATTGAGCGTTAGGATCTCATAGAAATGTCTTGCTGTGACCTTCTGGCTTTGAGAGAATATTGTGATCATGAGCAGACAGCTTCAATTACTGTTTCATGTTCTTATCCTTTAGAAAGTTGATGTTTTGTGAGTTGGATAGGATTCCCTGTCACTTAGGTATCTGATTATGGGTTGTGATTGGCTATTTTTAAGGATATTATTCTTTTATTTGAGCTTATGACGATGTTAATGAGTGATCTTAGTTTTGAGTGTTTTCCTCGTCTTCCTATTGTCCTTTTCTTTTTTATGTCTAGTCATGTTGTTTGTGTCTTTATCTTTGGTTAATGATGTAAAACCATTATTTTTGTTCTTGTTTTTAAAATAACTTGATAATGTCTTCTATGTTTTATGCATGATATCTTTAGGACAAACTTATTGAGCAAAAATCTATAGATATTTATAGATATTATGTAGATAACATAAGAATTATCTAATCATGCAGAACATAATATTTGTTGCTTCCCCAATTCGTCTTCGAGTATTCCTTAAGAAAATAATAAAATTGCATAATGTTGAGGTTTCTGAACCTTGTTTATATATATATATATATATATTATATATATATATAGCAAAACTTATGTTCAACTTAAGTGGATAGTAAAAAGTTGTCCACCAAAACTTTTTAGCCACTCATATGCCTAGATCCCTTGCATGATAGTGAAAATGTTTTTATATTAATAAATAAGTGCCTAGGAAGTTTGGTGGGACATCAACTTAAGTTGATAAGAAGTCTTACTCTCTCTCTCTCTTATTATATAGAGATTAATGAGTATCCTTGTCATAGGAGGGGATTTCCTCCTGCGACCGCCTATGCGGCACAATCCCCATCATTCATAAAGTAGGAGAAGGGGTGTGAGTTGGTGGGGATTTGTGCCTATTTTATGAGGATGGTGGGGATTGTGCCCACATAGGCGACAAGGAGAGAAAATGTCCTCCTATGACAAGGATACCCATTAATCTTAATATATATATATATATATATATATATATATATATATATATTATATATATATATATATATAATCATATATATAAGAACCCTAGTGCTGTTGACTTTTAGATTTTTGTAATTGTAGAGCACACTAAATTCTTGGTATAATCTGCAGGCGAGATTTCTATTGGTGAAGTTGAACCCATCGGCTAACTACAACTCAGCGCATGAGATGTCTCCAGGTGCAGATGTAATCTTCACAGATGATGTGAGCCTTCAAGTATTCTGCGAGCATCTCCGTAGGCTGGCCGTGCAATCGTGAGGAACGCATCAAAACTGTTAAAAATCTTCTTTTCTCCTTCTAAGTTTGTTTCTCCTTTTCTTTTACCTCAGCTTAGGTCGGAATGTTGATATTTTTAGGAGTTCTTAGAGTCTGTGTTGCCTCTCCTCGCTCTCCCCTTCACATATTTCTTGTACCAAACCAGTCAGTTCTATGACAAATAAGATTATACGATGTTAAGTTCTTTTTTGGATATCCTCAAATAGGCATTAGATCCATGTATTTGAATTTTTAGTTTAAATACCTCCTAGACTGGGAATTTAGAACGAAGTAATGTCCTTTTTCATTTTGCAGACCTTGTACCTCATTGTCTCTGTTTGTTGGGGGTGAATACATGAGGATGTTCATGAGCAAATCCATTATAAAAAGAGAAAAATACTTGGAACAATATTTTACCCCCTACCCCACCTTGTTTCCTCTTTATAATAAATCCCATAAAGCTGTGTATTGATACGCAGGTTATGTACCTGAATATTTAAGAGGTACTATACCTGTCAACATAGTGATGGTTGCCTTTTATGCTTTTGGTTCAAGTTCACTAATTCTTCACTTTATGTGGTTCATCATATCAAACATGTGTCTATTGGGCTAGGATAATATTTGTTTCATGAACAAAATTTTCAAAACCGACCCTTTTTCAAACATATTAGCAAAAAAACGACCTGTTTCAAAAGTATTTGTTAAAACCGACCCAGTTTCAGCCATCGGGCTGAAATTGGGTCGGTTTTGACGAAAGAAGTTCCCAAACTTCATGGGACTTCAAGTCCCGTGAAGTTTAGCAGCCATTTAATTATGTTGCTAAACTTCACGGGACTTCAAGTCCCGTGAAGTTTCACAGTTGAAAAAAACATCACGGGACTTGAAGTCCCGGGAAGTTTTTTAGTTCAAAAACAACTTCACCCCTCCCAAAACCCTCAATCTAACAAACACTTTCTCTCCGCCCCTCCCAAAACCCTCTCCAATGGCGGACCTCAAGGAGCCCCTCCTCCCACCCAAACCCTCAACCTCCACCGCCCCCCCGCCCCCCGCCCGCCGCCCTCTCTTCTAGGCACCCGACCTCAGCCTTGAGAAGTGCGGGCAGAGCGCCCATCCTGGATCCGCGTCAATGCTGCCACCGACCAATCGCAGGTCATCGAGGTCGACAAGTTCACCATGATGTGGCGCTGCGATCTCCCTGCACGCGATCTCCGGCCCCTCGACCCTCTCTTTGTTTACCCCTCCACGATTCTCGATCGAGAGAAGGCGATTGTTGTCAATCTCGAGCAGATCTGATGCATAATCATTGCTGCTTAATTCTCTTGATGGGTATGTGATTCAGTATGTGGTGGAGCTTCAGCGGCGGCTGATGGCGGGGAACAATTCGGTCGAGAGCTGAAATGAGCTTCACGGGACTTGAAGTCCCATGAAGTTTAGCATCATAATTAAATGGCTGCTAAACTTCACGGGACTTCTACTAAACTTCACGTGACTTCTGCTAAAATTTGATGCTTTCAGATCACAAATCAAGATCTATTAAAAAAAAAGATCATATGCAGACAAAAACCGAGTCATATCGCACGGCTTATAGTCTTGTTGTGCATTTTAGTCTACAGCCACAAGATCTATTAAAAAAAAAAAGATCATATGCAGACAAGAACCGAGTCATATCGCACGGCTTAAAGTCTTGTTGTGCATTTAGTCTACAGCCACAAGATTTCTTAATGCCAGAGCCTCAACACTTACTTTGATCCTTAAGAACAACCCCAGCTTTTAGCATAATACTTCTCTTGGTTATTCCTCTATATGGCCAATTAGTTAACTATTTAATCATTTATAATAGGCCTAATTAGTGTACTAATGGCAAATTGGAAACCATTCCAAATGCATCTTTGCCCATAGCTTGTGCCCAATATATACAAACTTTTAAGTAGCACCAAGCTTTTCTCCACCGAAAGAATTCAAAATTTGGTGCTCGTCAGTAGCAAAAAGAAAAGCCAAAAAAGATCCAAAAGCTTTGCCTAGTCATCACACACTGCTTCGATGTTAGTTGATGCCGGGTCATCGCCATATATAGAATTTGGGTTTTGCTTTTTGGCTCGCGGGTGGCCGGTGGCCCACCGCGAGCCAACTCGCGTGAGGTGAGGAACAAGGGGGCCAGTGGGCCCCACAAACTGTTCTGTTTGTACCAGTCACTGCTTTTATTATGAATCGTACTTCTCAACAAGCTCGATCTAAGCTCTTTTGCACATATTGCAAGAAGGAGGGGTACCAAATTAAGAAATGCTTCAAGCTTCATCCTGAGTTACGTTCCTCAGGTACCGGTCGTGGTCGGCGTCCCCCTCAGTCTCAACCCTCTCATGCACCATAGTTGCTAGCCAATGCTATACTATCTACCACTTCTGACACTACTATTCAAGCTATTGAAAATCTTCGCCGTCAGCTTGATGCTCTTTAGCATTCCACTTCTACATCACTGTCTGGCCTTGCTGACTGATCAACTGCACAAGTCTCTGGTATGAATGATCTCTGAATTTTTGACTCTGGTTGTTTCTTTCATATGACTCGTAATGCCTCACTATTATCCTCTGTCTTCACTTCATCTTCTCTTCCCATTATCTACACGACTGCTGGACAACCATTGCCTATCACTCAGTATGACTCTATCACCCATTATCTATCACTTCACAAAATGACCCATCTGGTCGTCTAACACTTGGCCCCGTCTATGTGGCTCCTCAGTTGTGCTTGAATTTAATTTCTATTAGTTCTTTATGTATGGATGACCTACTTGTCTCATTTTCTTCTGATACTTATTTTATACAGGATCCACAGACGGCCAAGACTATTGAGGTTGGTCGTAGGAGACACAAGCTGTGTTTTCTGGAATATCTTCACCTTTCAGAGTCCATACGTCCACATTCTCTTGTTGCTTCTGTTTGTCCATCAAAACCTTTTACCTCGCTTCCTGCCAATTTGTGGTATAGAAGACTTGGTCATGTGTCATCTAGTCCTCGTATTGAGTCATGTACTAGTTATAAATTGGCTAAATTTACTGTTTTACCGTTTCCAACCAGTACATCTGCCTCCACTTTCTTATTCGATTTAGTCCATTCCGATATTTGGGGGCCAGTTCCTCTACCTTCTTCATCTGGCTATTTATATTATGTTAGTTTTATTCATGATTTCCCTCATTATACATGTGTTTATTTACTTAAAAGTCTCTTTGAGGTACCCGCTGCGTATCAATCCTTCACTGTTATGTTCTTCACTCAATGGAAAGCTCGTATTAAAGGTTTTCGATCTGACTGTACTAAAGAGTATTTATCCTCTACCACGCGCTCTATCATGACCTCTCATAGGACTATCTTTCAACAGTCATGTCCTTACACTCATGAGCAGAATGGTATTGCTGAACGCAAACATCGCCATATCCTTGATACCGCTCGATCCTTGCTCATTTCTTACCATGTTCCTCATCGTTTCTAGGCTGAGGCCATTATCACCACTGTTCATGTCATTAATATCACTCCATCTAGCTCTCTTTCAGGTGCTACTCCTCATCGTCGCGTATATACTCATACTCCTCGCTATGATCTGACTTGCTTCTTTGGTTGTCGATGTTTCATTTTTTTTACCATCTCACGAACGTGATAAATTGTCTCCTAGAGCTGTTCCCTGTGTTTATTTAGGAATTAGTCTGGAACATCGAGGTTATCGTTGTTATGATCCTGCATCTCGTCGGGTTCATATATCTAGACACGTTCAGTTCGAAGAGGATTCTCCATATTACTCTGGTTTTTTTAACTTTAATTTTCTCCACCCTACTGATAGTTCTTCACCACTAGCTACACCACCCACTGCCTTACCTCCGTTCTCCTTTCGAGATCTTCCTGACATCTCTCCATCTCCTTCTGTTGAATCTCCCTCACCGAGCCTTCTCATACACCATTTGCTCCTTTAGCTCCCTCTCTCTCGGACACAGTGACCACTACAGAACATACTGTTGACCTCCACACACCTACGCCAGTATCTCCTCCGCCTGAGGTTCCTCTTGCTCTTCGTTGAATCAAACGACCACATGTCATGCTTAAACGATATGCTTCGGTTGCTTCCTATTCACCTATCTTTCATAATTTTCTTACTGCCATTCATACTACAATTGAGCCAAAGTCCTTTCAAGAGGTGGTTTAATTTTCAGAGCGGTGACAGACTATGGCTGAGGAATTTTAGGCCTTTCAGTAAATACACACATGGGATATTGTTCCTTGTCCTCCTGGCGTCTCTCTATTTGGCAGTAAATGGATTTATAAGTTCAAGTGTCATTCTGATGGCACCATTGAACGTCGGAAGGCTCGTTTAGTGGCTTGAGGTTTCACTCAGCAATAGGGTATTAATTATGAGGAGACCTTTTCTTCTGTTGCTCAGATGTCCACTGTTCGTACTCTCCTTGTAGTTATCGCTACTCATTGTTGGTCTGTATATCAGATGGAAGTCAAGAATGCCTTTCTCTATGGCTCTTTATCTGAGATAGTGTATATACAACCGCCTCCAGGGTACAATATTCTTCTAGGACATGCATGTCTCATTCGTTGTGCTGTTTATGGTCTCAAGCAGGCACCCCGCGCTTGGTTTGAGTGTTTTCGTGATGTTGTGCTCAAGGGGGGCTTTATGAAAAGTCATCAAAATGCTTCTTTGTTTGTTCACACTACATCGATTGACAGAGTTTTATTACTCCTTTATGTAGATGAGATGATCATTACAGGTGATGATGTTGCTGGTATATAGTACACAAAAGCTAAATTGCAACAACAATTCAACATGAAGGATATTGGATCTGTTCACTATTTTCTTAGTCTAGAAATCTCTCAGGGCCCCTGGGGAGTACTACTATCTCAACAGAAGTATCTCTCAGATATTCTAGCTCGTGCTGAGCTAACTGACGATGCAACCGTCGATACTCCACTTCAACAGAATGTCAAACTTCGCTCTACTAATGGTGAGCCTCTATCTGATCCTACCCGATACCAACATCTTGTTGGTCAGTTGGTTTATTTGTGTATCTCTCGACCAGATATCTTTTATGTTGTTGGCATTATCAGTCAATTTATTGATGCCCCACGTTCTGTACACTATACTGCTTTATTACAGATTCTTCAGTATCTCCGAGGCACTAGCACTCGCTCTCTTCTGTATCCTACTACATCCGATTTAGAGCTTCGTGCATATTCTGATGTTGATTAGGCTGGTGATCCAACTACCAAAAAGTCTACCACAAGTTATTATATATTTCTTGGTGATTCTCTTATTTTC